CTGCACTCCTGAGGCCCCCGCCCTCCGAACCCCTCGGTCCCAGCCTGGAGCACCCTCCTATACCCCAAAGACCTCATCCCTAGGTCCACACCTCCAGCCAGAGCCCGCCCCTCTTCCCCCCACAACTGAATGCCCTGAACTCCTCATTTCTGGCCCTAACCCCAGCCAGAGCCCTCATTCCCTCCTGTATCCCAACCCCAATTTCGTGAGCATTCATGGCCCACCATACAATTTCCATACCCAGAAGTGGCCCTCGGGCAAAAAGTTTCCTCACCCCGAATTAAAACTTTTGTTTAAATCCTTCAAATGTTCTGTTAGCGGTGTGAGCTTGCTCCACTTCACCCATCCTCCTTTGAGGTTAAAAAGGAAACATAAATGCCATGCTCTCTAGATGGCTCTCTTTATCCCCCTGTTCTCATCTTAAACAGTGTTTCTTAAACATAATAGGTAATATTTTTAAAAGCAGCTAAGTTCCAATTTCAAAAGTGATTTCTTAGGTATAGTTAAAGTGGTACAACTGTGAATGCCGTTATACCAGCATGAAAGTACATCTACCTATATAGATATTCCTAGATAAGCATTGGAATAACTATAGCAGTAGAAGCACCTTTATAGGGGCATGGGGTCTTTCTTAACCGAAATAGTTATAGTGGTACGGATGTAGACCAGGCCTTAATTACTGTTGAAAACAGGACTCAGGAAGAACCTAAGTTACTGAAGGGGCTTTTGAAAATTTTACCCAATATAAATACTGTACATAGCAAACACCTGAATATGCATGGCCCTCTGAGATATTAGTTTCATTTCAGGACAGGTTTAAGAAGAAAGATAAGAAATAATTAGGGTTGTCAATTAATCACAATTAATTGCACTTATAACAATAGAATACCCATTGAAATTTATTAAATATTTTTGGATGTTTTTCTACATTTTCAATATTGATTTCATTTACAACACAGAATACAAAGTGCACAGTGCCCATTTTTTATTACAAATATGTACTGTAAAAATGATAAACAAAAGAAATAGTATTTTTCAATTCACCTCATACAAGTACTGTAGTGCAATCTCTTTATCGTGAAAGTGTAACTTACAAATGCAGATTTGTATTTATTTATTTTTGGTTACATAACTGCACTCAAAAACAAAACAGTGTAAAACTTTAGAGGCTATAGTCCACTCACTCCTACTTCTTATTCTGCCAATTGTTAAGACAAATAAGTTTGTTTACATTGATGGGAGATACTGCTGCCTGCTTATTTACGATATCACCTGAAAGTGAGAACAGGCATTCGCATAGCACTTTTGTAGTGGGGTTGCAAAGTATTTACATGCCAGATATGCTAAACATTTGTATGCCCCTTCATGCTTTGGCCACCATTCCAGAGGACATGCTTCCATGCTGATGACCCTCGTTTAAAAAAAAAAAATGTGTTAATTAAATTTGTGACTGTACTCCTTGGGGAGAGAATTGTACGTCTCCTGCTCTGTTTTACCCGCATTCTGCAAATATTTCATGTTATAGCAGTCTCAGATGATGACCCAGCACATGTTTGTTTTAAGAACACTTTCACAGCAGATTTGACAAAATGCAAAGACGGTACCGATGTGAGATTTCTAAAAATAGCTACAGCACTCAACCCAAGGTTTAAGAATCTGAAGTGCCTTCCAAAATCTGAGAGGGACGAGTTGTGGAGCATGCTTTCAGATGTCTTAAAAGAGCAACACTGATGCGGAAACTACAGTAACCAAACCACCAAAAAAGAAAATCAACCTTCTGTTGGTGGCATCTGACTCAGATGAACATGCATCAGTCTGCACTGCTCTGGATTGTTACCAAGCAGAACCCATCATCAGCATGGAAGCATGTCCTCTGGAATGGTGGTTGAAGCATGAAGGGACATCTGAATCTTTAGCGCATCTGGCACACAAATATCTTGCAACGCCAGCTACAACAGTGCCATGCGAACGCCTGTTCTCACTTTCAGGTGACGTAAACAAGAAGCAGGCAGTATTATCTTCTGCAAATTGTAACCAACCTTGTTTGTCAGAGTGATTGGCTGACCAAGAAGTAGGACTGAGTGGACTTGTAGGCTCTAAAGTTTTACATTGTTTTATTTTTGAATGCTTTTTTTTTTACATAATTCTACATTTGTAAGTTCAACTTTCATGATAAAGAGATGCATTACAGTACTTTGAGGTGAACTGAAATTTTTTTTTTACATTGCAAATATTTGTAATCGAAAATAAATGGAGCACTGTACACTTTGTATTCTGTGTTGTAATTTAAATTAATATATTTTAAAATGTAGTAAACATCCAAAAATAATTAAAATAAATAGTATTCTATTGTTTAACAGCGCAATTAATCATGATTAATTTTTTTAATCGCTTTACAGCCCTAGAAATAATACTGATTTCCTCCTCCCTGCTGGGTCCACACTTTCTAGACAAATTTGCAGTATGCTCCCCATTCTGAGTCCCAACAACATATAGGATCAGCTGAGAAATTCTTTTCAGATTGGAACAGCTGCCAAATTTGCAAAAGTTTTGGAATGATTCTAATCATTTTCAGAATGTTTTCCTCATTTAAATGCTTATTATTTATGCTTGACATCCCATTGTTTTGAAAGGAATTGGGCAGGCTAAGACAACACAGAATGAGATTTGTAACCTATTTTTAAAAGCTTATTACCAGTCTTTGTGCATAGACTTTAAAACTATGTATTTCTTAACACAAGCGAGTTTAAAATGATTTCTCCTTTATTTACCTCCAAAGATCCGTTCTCAGATTCTTGTTTTCTCCTACAGTGGTTTTTGATCTTAGTGATGCCTAATGCAAGGCAGAGAGTGCCTGCAGTTCATTGACTTACTTGAAAAGTGGAACTTTGAACCCAGCTCTTGGCAGCTACTGTAGAAAGCATTACAGCTCACCTATAAGTAATTTAGGGATTGAGCCAAAGTATATTGACTTCAACTGACTGTGCACCAAGTCCTTAAAGGATGGGCTCAAGTGGATTAATCCCATAGAAAATGTGTTCATTTTCCATTGGTTTTTTTTTTCTATAAAATTGGACATTTAACTATTCAAAATTTATATTACCAGCCTAAGGGATGCTATCAGAAAGCTAGGGGCCTCTGTATAAAAAGTGAAAGGCCAAATTTTGGCCAGTGCAGGTAACGAGAAAAATGTTCTCTAGTTTAACTTGATCTGCTTCTGCATTTTTAAGTCCTCCTCCAATAAACTGATGCAAAAAGTCCAGCTGGTACCAAAATGGGAGGAAGGAAGAATCTGGAAGTAGCATCTGGTAGCTAGAGTCTATATTCAAATATTGGTTTTGTCTTGCCTGTTTCTCCCATCTAGCTACCACTGCCTGTGATCCAGTGGTGGAAGAGCACTTCCGCAGAAGCCTTGGCAAGAATTACAAGGAGCCTGAGCCAGTGGCAAACTCTGTGTCCATCACAGGATCAGTTGATGACCACTTTGCCAAAGCACTTGGAGATACATGGCTTCAAATTAAAGCTGCAAAGGATGGAGTGTCCAGCAGTCCTGAGTCTGCCTCAAGGCGGGGCCAATCTTCCCCTTCTTCCCACATGGTCAATCATAATCATTCGCCCTCTGTAGTCTCATGAAGAGAGCGGATCATCACACTTCCGAATTTGCATGGTTTGACTGAGCTTTGAATAGTGTTGGGGTGAGGAGAGATTAGTTTTCAACACGTTTTTGTGTACTTGTTTGGTATTTGTACAAGGGTGCCCTTAAAGATGATAGCAGGAACTATTTGATAAAGATCTATATGATGTAGCATCCTTTTTTTCCTGCCTCAGTTACCAAAGAAACCTCTGATGCAAGCATCTGCTACCCCTTTCAAAAAAATGCATGCTAATCCACAAAAAAGCCATTACACACACAGTTGGTTGACCCAAATGCTTTTTGCTTCTATTAGTTTCTTGACACTACGATTTGCCTGGTTTGCTCTCTCCCCTCTCCCCCCCCCCTGAAGTAATTTTGTATGTATATACTTGAAAAAGAACTGTCATGTATGATTTGCACTATTGGAGGAGGACTAAAGTTGCATGGCAACTTTATGCATGATGCTAATATCCTGAAGGCAAACTGCTGAAAAAAAGGGTTTAAGTGACATTTCTATCAGTTTTTTTTTTTTAAACTGCTTTGGAAGGGGAAGTCTCATACAGGTTATAGGTCTTTCTTTAGATTTCAGGTGCTTAGTGCTTGTAACTGGACTGCATAACTTACAGACCACACGGGCATTTAATTTTTTCTAAACACTGCAGTTTGTTAGAATAGAGCTGAGGATGGAGAGTTCAATAGTGCTTAAAGATGCATGTTATGAAAAATAGCTGGTATCTATTAATGTATAGACTGTAATACTTATTAGCTTTTCTTCAGAATTAGTTTATTTTTGTCAGTAACAGTCCTAGATATACTTACTGCTGGTACAGTTGTACTCTGATTCACTTTATTAGCAGCCAGCCAGAGAGGGCAGCCTCAGGACAGGCCTCATAAATGAAGCAGTTTAGAAATATATGATGCGTGGTACAGGATGCTATAGCTTTGTGCATGAGTGAATAACCATTTATGTTTGCATTACTGTCTGCTTAACATGAATTTGCTTCCTAAAACTAGAAGTCTGTGTAATCCAACTTTAACTAGCTACAGAAACTGCTACCTTTAAATATCTTGGACAACAGATTGTTACAGTTTGTGAAATATGAGCTTTAATTTTTAAGCTTACTCATAAACCTAGGCCAAGGCAGCATACATTCCTCCAGTAGAAAACGTTATACAGGTATTACTGCATTTATTATAATTTGCTATATTAATAGCTACTAACTAGACATTAGGTAATAGAGGCAGGCATAAAAACACAGCTGTGTTAGTAATAAAGTGCTTCTCATCTTTTTGTTAAATGTAACTATTCTCCCCCCCCCAATACATTCCAGCATCCCAGTACAGTTACAAGTAGTGCTTTTTTTTTTTTGTTTGTTTGTTTAAAATACTGGGTTACCTGAAGAGACTGGTTCTATATAGAAAGTTATGATTAGTTGGAAGATGAACTACATGTGATGTATTATGGACTGTTACAGTATTGGGTCCATTGTGGCTTTTATTTTAATTTGTTTTTATGTTAAGCTGTTTTAATTTGAGAAAATATCAGAAGATTGGCTCTTACTCATGTTGAGAGGGTGGCTGCTCAATTTTTTTAAAAACAAAAACAAGCCCCCAGTTTCACACATTTCATTACCATCTTACTGGGTAGTCAACGCTTACCTGCTTTGGCATTCAGTACCCTACTCTCTGTAGGAAAATTGTTAAAAGAACACTTTTTTATATAGGTAACTTTAAGACCATCGTTACGCTGTGCGTAAAGAATGTACAGAGAAATTTGTAGGTATTTTTTGAGGAACAATTAATTTGTTAATGATATGTAGCTATTTAATTTTTCCCTTTCCTTTATTGTAATCATTCATTTTTTTGTTTGGAGAAAAAAGTTGATCTTTTTTTGTTGTAGATTTGTCTGTAATACATTAAAAAAGTGCAGGAACACAGTTATTCTATGAGAACACTGCATTAGCATTAATAGCCACTAGTTTGTTACTGCTACAGGCTACTGAGCATTATAACAGTAAAATACTAATACTGTAGATGGACTCTGTGGAAAATGTGACTCCTTCTACATTTCTTTGTAAACACAAATGTTTTTAAAGCTAATATTTTCAGTAATAGCTGTTTTACAAGGTCACATTTACTTATCTGAGATAGGTAAATGGATGTGGGGCAATAAAGATTTAATGTGATATGTCCAGTAAAAACAAATATATTAAACACAATTATGTCATGAAAGCCAAAGGGTTAGGGGGAAAGTAAACTCACCATAATAACGCATAGTGAAGTTTCTTCACAGAGCCATGTTATCTGCTAAAGTTCAGTCTGAAAGATTCTCTCCGTGTTTGTAAATCTGTAATATACCATTCTTTTGTGGCCTTGTTTCACCTGGGGAAAAGAAAAAAAGGTTTGGCAGGCCATCTTTTTTTTTTTTGTACTTAAAAAGTAGCCTTAAAGAACAATAAAGTGCTCTTAAATCACAGGTGTGTACATATTCTTCTTTGTAATTTGGTTAAAAAGGAAGTATTGAAAATGACCATCTTACCTTTGCTAGGGTTGGAGTAAGGGAACAATGCATCAAACTGGGATCTTTCCCTGCTAGATGGAGACAGGCCTAGACCACTGTCCTTGCACCCCATTTCTCCATGCAGCATATATATCCTGCTGAGAATATAGCCAGTGATGAATAGCAGTTAGGGACACGTATGTGGGACGATATAGATCATACAAAAGCTGCCATGGCTCTGACCAGCACCAAGAGTTGTTCACCCACCACGTTTTGAGACATGCCAGCCACAGATAGCATTGAGTAGCTGCTGTTTTTCCCCTCTGGCAAGGGCAACTGGTTGGTAACACTTTCCACAGTTATAGTGGCTGCAATGGACCACTGTGTGGCAGACTCCAAAAAAGGCTTGTTCCTGCAGCAGTATTTAAGAATGCCAACAGTTTTGTGAGCACATCACTAGGGACATGTGTGCATTAGGGGTCAGAAGCGCAGCTCTGCCACTATAACCCATAGACACATCCTACAGCAATTAAAGGGGTTTCTCTGTTGCTGTAGGAACTCTGCCTCCCTGAGTGGTGGTGGGAGTTAGGTCAACAGAAGCATTCTTCCATCTGTCTACACCAGGTGTTAGGTCACCATAGCTACAGTGCTTAGGAGATGTGAATTTTTCACAGCCCTGAACAAGATAGCTAAATTCTGAATGTAGGCTAGGCCTGCAGTACAACCAGGGAAGCTATTGAAATATTTTTGGCACAATTCCCATTGATCAAGTCACAGAGATCTCAGCGTATCATTTCCATAGAGGACTAGAAGGCAGTTGTTCATATTTAATGCAGCTTAAGTAGCAGCCACTAAACAGTTACTGTTTTAGCAAGAGAGAATGGTCCATTCACAAATCTCTGCTATATAGGCAGTGAAGAGAAACTCACTTCTTCCCGTCCCTCACATTCTTGGAGCGTATCTACACTGTAAAACTCACCCTCTGCGGGCCAGAAGTATAGAGAGAAGGATACTTGTGTTCAGTACAGTTTTAAAAAATGTGGTTAAAATCTGCTCTGATCTAAGGAGGGGATTTTAGTGGAAAATAATTTGACTGGAAGCTGATGTCCCTAAAAATAAATGTCCTGGTACCTGATGTTCAGGAACATTCGATAACGTTCTTCAGAGAATGAGACAAATTTCAGCTCAGTCTGTAGTGGAGGTGTGTCTGCAAAAAAGATACTGCCCTGGAAGAACAAAACAGTTCAGTTATTTCACTGATAACTTGTTGCCATAGATGTTCAATAGGAATAATGTTATAGAGTGTTGTAAATTGTGTTCAAAGCATCTAAACTTCTGAAAAAATATGCCAGGAATTAAGTGCGCATACATTGGTGTTAGAGACTGAGAACACAGCAAAATTAATTAGCTTTAACATATTTGAAAAACATCCCTCTCTGTAACTACCCATAGAAGCCTAAATACACAAAGTAAGTGGCCTTTGGAAGGGGAGTTAGCTACAATGGTCTGTTGTCTGAACAGTGCTTTAGATACCACCAAAGGGGTGTAAAAATTCCAGTGCACACTAGTATGATGTGCACTAACTGGTCCATATGGACCTTGCTAGTGCACACATGTTCTCTAGTGTGTGTTAGTGTAGTACTGTATCATACAGGATTATATTAATGTACATCAGGGAACCACGGCAGCAGTCAACAAAGGCTATGTCTAGACTTCAATCACAGGGTGTGATTGCAGAACTAGCTTTGAATAGTGCACGCTTCTGACCAGGCCACCTGACTACCTTCCTGAGATTTTGGGGGGGGGGGCCTCCTACAGCTTCACTGCTCCAGGACCCAAGATAACTAGGTTAAACCTAGCTTGGATATGTCTACTTGAGCTTCAGTCACAGCCTATGCTTTCAATATAGACATACCTAAAGTCATATTATTTGATGGGGTAGTCATTGCCTATTCAAGAATGAACAAACAGACCCTGTAAGCAACAATATATTTAGTAACTGTATGTTACTAAAACAACAACAAAAACTAATGAAACCATGACATGCCTTCTTGTCTATTGCTTGTATCTCCTTTTGGTGACGACAGCATGGTTCTGAAGAGCATTTTTCTCCTGCTTTTTTTGAATTGCATCTTCAAGTTGTTATTCTGTAGACACAAAGGAAACCCAATAAGAATCTACATCTCCTTCTGCTAAATTAGTTTCATACCAGAATTTTAATTAAAAAAAAAAAAAAAAAACAGACATCACAGATGATAAACATACAGGCTACCCATCAAATTCAGGTCATTCTGAATGTTTCACTGGAATCTAAGCTTTAAATATTTCTACCTCTTCAGGCTGCAAAAGCAACCTTTAAAAAGCTGACAACAGGATAGCAACAGATTGAAACAATAGCACCAGGACAGGTGTGAACTTCCCCCATCTTGTTGGGTGAAACTTTTATGCTTACTTACACCTCCTTAGTTGCCAAACTTGTTAATAGTATCGCTGCTGAATGGTTATCAGACCTATCCATCAAATTATGCTTATCCAGTGGGGCAGCATGTATTTGGCCAGTCTCAATGTTCCATATAAAGCTGTAGCCAAATACATACAACAGCAGCAGCAATGGTAACTGAAGTAAAAACCCAGGGCTTGTCTATACTGCCCCGCAGTTTGGACTATGGAGGTGTGAATAGCAGTGTAATTCGAAGTGGTGTGCTGTGACACCCTTGTGCAGATACTGTGAGCACAAACAAAAAGGTTCCTAGTTCGTGTCACTTTAATCCTCTTCAAACAAGACTACATTAACGGGAACTAGGATCCTTTTAGTTTGCACCTGTAGCATCTACATGGCAGAGTTATAGCATAACACTTTGGTGTGCCCTGCTATTCACACCCTGTAGTCTGAATGGTGGGGCAATTTAGATACAGACCAAGTTCTGTTCTAGTTTGGATGCCAGCAACTTTTCCATTAGCAACTGTATATGTTCTTAGATGATGGGATCAGATTTCACTAGAATTCCCTGTAGATTTCTTTTAACCCTGATCCTGAGTCATCCCTGTGATAGCAGAGTAATAACTGTCATTTATAGCTGATAAAAAGGTAACCACATTTTGAATTAAAATCCACAATGGCTGTGTGAATGGTGACTTCCCCCAATATCCAAATACCACACCAATGCAGAAAGCTGCCTGTCTAGCACTTTCATGACAAGACATGTAAAAGGGACTTTAAAGGGGTCTGTGTAAGAGTTCTACTTACCAGGGCTGGCCCAGTCATTCTCAGCCGAGACAAATCTGCTTTTTGTCATTATTTTTGGTTTCAAATCTCACCATTCCTCAACAAGGATCTAATCTGCATCTTCCAGCACTACAGGAAACTCTCATTCCAAAACTGAGGCCTCTGGTTTCAGCTAGGCCATCTCCGTAAAGAGGGAGAGAGAAGACTGACTGTCCACAGATCCAGATTTATATTTAACTAAACTAACAGCATGTCATATGTACTTAAGGGGTTTTCTAAAGTAATCACTTAAGCAAGGCCTCCCAAGAGGACAAAGCCATGCCAGATATAACTAGTCATCTATACTGTTCATGCACACTCCACCCTACAAGTCCCACATCAGAGAATGCACCTACAGTAACTCCTCACTTAACGTTGTCCTGGTTAATGTTGTTTTGTTATGTCGCTGATCTATTAGCGAACATGCTTGTTTAAAGTTGTGCAATGCTCCCTTATAATGTTGTTTGGCAGCTGCCTGTTCTGTTCACTGCTTGCAGGAAGAGCAGCCCCTTGGAGCTAGCTGGTGGGGGTTTAGAACCAGGATGGGCAGGCAGCCCCACATCAGCTCCCCAAGTTCCCTGTGCGGCAGCCGCCCAGCAGGCTATCAATTGTCGGGCAGTTCAGCTGTCCCTCCCCGCACTGCCATGTGCTGCTCCTTGCTGTGCAGGGGATGGGGGGGAAGAGCGATGCTGATGTCAGGGTGTACCCCTCCCCCGGCACCTTTACCCCATTTCCACAGGGGGGGGGGGGGAAGCACGAGACAGGGCTCAGGATATAGGGAGCTTGCTGGCAGCAGCTGCTGTCTCAACTTGCTGATCTACTTAAAAAGGCAGTGTACTTACAGTGGGGTCAGCGTACTTAAAGGGGCAATGTGTGTCTCTCTCTCTCTCACACACACATCCACAAGGTCAAAGTAACAGGCGTTTTAACTATCCCTTACTGGAAGTTCAAATGGGTTCTCTCCTCTTAAATGTGTTTTCCTGCATCTAAAAGGAGCAACTGTCTTTGGTTGTGGGTTTGGTTTATTTGTCATTTATGGATCGCTAAATAATAGCTCTCTTGTCCTTCAGTCCTAGAACGCTCCCTTCTGGTTCCATTGGGCTCTTTCCCACGACATGCACAAGGAGGCCTGTGTGTCCAGAGAGCGAGTACTAGTCACCATGTTTCAGGGATATGTGTTCTTTTTGTGCGGGAAGGGGGGAGATGTTTATAGCCATGTGGGGGGCATAGCAAGTGCTGCCTTCAGGCCTCAAAGAGTCAATGGAATCCATGGGTACGTATGGATCCACTGTTCCAGATCTCAGGGCTATTTGGTGCGCACACAACTACTCTGTGAACCTCTTTTGGTACCAGCACAATTCAGGTATTACACTGCCATTAACACCCAAGGCTGCAATCTAGATGTACCCTAGGTCTCTTCCTCTCCTTGTTATTAACCCATTTAGTATATACGATTGAAAGTCATCTTTGGTTTTGAGTCAATGCCCATTTTTTCCTGTTTCAGGACAGATTAAATGACTTCAAGAGCGGTGTTCTCAGTCTTTTCCTAGATTAGGTTTGATTTTTCTGGTTACAAGTTTTACAAGTATATTGATTTGCATTTAATAAGTTTTCTTGCCCCATTCCACTGACTACATTTGACCATTACATGTTTGCAAAATTAATATACTTTGAGTCCAGTGCTTATTAACACAAAGGCGTCTTTACACTGCCCTGCCAGAGAAAAGGGATCTAGACCTGGTTGCAAGTCACACTGTCTACGTGTTGTAAAGGGACGTTAGTGTAAATGAGAATCAGGGTTCCCTCTCTTCCCAGTTGCGTGAAGGAAGCTCTCCTGTTACCATGTGCATGGCAATGGCCCCCTTTCCCAGAC